ATACATATATACATATATACATATATACATATATACATATATACATATATACATATATATATTTAAAGTCACAGGTTCGATTCCCAACATAGGGTGTGGCTAGCTGATGAGAGCTAAATAGCTTGAAATAGATCTATACTAGTCTCCCTTTATTTATTTATCAGCATAAATATAACAAATATATATATATATACACATACATACATACATACATACACACACACACACACACACACACACACACACACACCCAATTGGGATTGGTAACTCCATTGCTAAATGATGTGGTTGAAGCAAGACATCACATGACCATGATGCACTTACAATCTCATTGTGAAGTGCTTAAATCTCAATCACATGACTGTGGAAACCCTGCAACAGTTGTAAGTATAAAATTTTACTTTCTCTGTGCCATAATTTATAGTGATATCTTGGTACTCAGTTGCTTTCAAACTCATCAGATTTGGCACTCAATGCATTTTGATGCAAAAGGTTTATCCCAATACTCATCGTTTGTTTGGTACTCAACACACAAGCTAGAACTTGTTGTTGTTGACTGCCTTGTGACTCACTACATTATTCCTTATGGGAAAAAATGGTTTGGTGCTCATCAATTTTGGAAGTCGTCCCGGAAACAATTAATGATGCATTCTGAGGTACAACTGTAGTTTGAATGTTCACTAAATAGGACAGTTGTTAAGTAAGGTCTATCTTTATTTTGAAACAGATTTTTTTTGGGGGGGATGAGCAACATCCTATGGAAATCATTGCATTAAAATGATAATATTATTTCTGTTTTTGAAACTGATAAATCTGATGCAAGAAATTGTATTTCTTATTCTTATGATTTTTTTTAGCCTCCTCGCCCAGAAGATCTATCAATTGTCTGCTTTACTAGTGGTACCACAGGTAAAATGTATCACTTTAATGCTGATAAAATTTTGCATAAATGTAGTTTATAGTTTAAGTATTTTAGATCCATTTAAAATGTTCGTAAATAGAAATGTATACATTTTAATTTTGATTATTTTTACATATTTTATAATATTTGGGGGGATGGTGATACAAAAACATAATGGTATATATAAATGCAAAATGCTTATCACCCTGACTGATAAGATATATTTTGAAAAGTTAAAACATTTATACTGGTAAATAGCTGGTTAAATTCACGGATTGAATGACTACTTGGCCCATTGTGAATTTAACTTCAGGTCCAGTGGATATTAGAATTAAAATCTTGTATTCAGTTTTTGTATTCAAAGTTCTTTGAACTCTGCCTAGAGTGACTTTACTAAATATTTCCCATGTTGATCTTTTATTTTACTTTTATTTTACTTCATTATTTTTTACTTGGAACAATATGTATAGCAATTGCAATTTCTAACCAGTTTGAAAGTAGCAAGGTATCTAAATATCCCATGGACAGTCAAATACATGAGGAATGAAGGGTTATTTCCTTCACAGTAAAAATGTATTTCCCGAAATATTGGAATGTTAGCTACTTGGATCTTGATAATGCTAGTTCTGATCACTGCGATTTGATTTATTTAATTTGACAAATGAAAAATCATATACGTGGCTTTTTCTCACACTATGGTAGAATGTACTTAATTCAGATATTTTCATTAGTTCTTTTCTAAATCTATCTGCTTTATTATTGAGGTATAGATTTGGAAAATTATTCTTTTACCTATTTTTCACTTAGTGTTTTGGAACTTGAGCTCATTAGTTCAAATTTATCTTAAATTAAATGCAGCAAAAAAAGATCTTTAGAAAATAAAATTGGAAAAAGCGAAAGACAAATGTCATATATTTGGATTTTTAAAGCACATTTCATTACCTCTCCTTTTGAAGAAATGTCCTTGGTTGGGAGCAATAATCTTGCCATCTCTACTGACCCTGAAATACTACATTTATTTAATGCATTTCTTCATACTTTCAAGCCTATAAATATTTGAAGGAAAATATCTTGGTTGCTGTCCATCAGACAGCACTAGGAGAATTGGCTGTGGTTGTACTGACAGTGGTATAGAAAGATTGCATTAAGTTCCAGGTTGTTTACAAAGTTCTTACACAAATCAACATTTGAACCCTGGTAGAAGCTGATTGTTTTCAAAGATAGCTCTGAAACAAACAAGGTGATTTCAAATATGTTATGCTTAAAATGTGACTGGTTATAATAAAGCATCCTCAGTTTCATCTTAAAAGTTTGTGCTAATCTCATACTGAAGGAAAAGGGAATTGGCAAAAAAGAAGAGAAGAAAACAAGCATCAGAGAAATGATGGGTGGATCTGCCTCGGGATCCTTGTTTAGCATCTTCTACCAAATTGGGTGTGTTTTCCAAAGAATTATCATGGTAGAAATGTTGTCCTTAAATGAGGGGCAGAGATGGCAGCTGTTCTTTCCTAAGGTAGAAGATAAGATTTCACTGTTAGTTCAGTGAAGGGAAAGCTTATGGGAACCAAGTTTCGACATCTGAACAATAATTGTTCCTAGGAAATATCGGACAGGGTCCCTGAAAGTGCCTTTTGTGTGTATATGAAGTGACTTATTTGATTGACCCATCTTTCCTTCACTGATACTACAGCAGTGAAAACTTCTTAAACTGTAAGTGCTAAGTTGGCATTTAAAGACTGACAATGCACATCCTGTCAAAGACCAGTTCATATTAGCAAATAAGAAATTTTTTTGGAAAGAATTATCTGTGGTACTGGCTTTTTTACCCATGTTCCTTAGCTGGTAAATGTGAACATTTATTTGATAAGATTCTTCTTCCTCCATTTTCCAGGTAACCCAAAAGGTGCTATGCTGACTCATGGAAATGTGGTGGCTGATTTTTCAGGTTTTTTGAAAGTGACAGAGGTGAATACTCTATTTACTTTAAAACCTGACAACAAAATGAACTATATAATTTTGGAAATAGAAACACCTACAAAATAGGAAACTGTCTTAGGTGACTGCTTGGGAGTCATGAGTGTAATTTCCAATGCCATTGGTTTAAGTGCTGAATTAATGCTAGTAGCAAAAAATCCAATGATGATTTTTGAATTTAAAATATTTTTTTTCCTAGCAAGAAGGGTGGGTAAACAAACAAACAAAGGATCATTCCGACTTGAGGCTTGGGCATGGTTCAGGCAGATACACCGAAATCAGTGTAACTATAGTTAACATTGCCTTAAAACGTGAGTTACTTTGAGTGGTCTTTTTGAAACATGATTAAATTTGGATCTAGTGCAGAAAGCAGTTTGGGGAAAAGAAACTGGATTTAGAACCATAACCATGAAATGTTGCTGGCCACTTCAAGAATAGGTATACTGCAAGTCTTCATTTTTTTAAAATGGGTCAGAGAAATTTAGATGTTACTTTTTCTCATGCCAGCTCTTTCAGCTCCCAACTGATAATGGTCTTTCTACAATGATCACTATGAGCACCTTAATGCGCAGTGTACATAAACTGATTTTCTGCAATAGAAAAATACATTTTAAAAAATATTAGACATTTTAAAGAAAAAATAAAAATGGAAAGGGAGTCAGAAAGGGTTAATAAAGGATCCGTGTAATTTAAAGCATGGAAGCATGAACAGGCACCCAAAAAGCAAGATAGCAAGGTTAATTTTATAACATCATATTAAAAAAAAACTTGGAAGGATTCCCATGCCTTTAATGGCTGACTGATGAACAGAATTTATTTGGCTATGAATTTTGTGTTATATCCCATTCTCATAAAAGCATCACATGCTATATTCTGTTTATGACTCAGAGATTGCCTTATGCTAATTGGGTTCAATCAGATTAGCTGTGTTTTATTAAACAGGCTGCAGTGGCCATACTACTTAACTATTATGGATGGATTCACATAGTGCACTAAGCCAGAATGAAACACAATGTAAACCACTACTTAGCTCCAATTATCCAGGATTTCATAGGAACTCTTTTCAGCCCTATCTTGATATGTGACTGATCTGTCACTTGTACATTACAGCTGATCCTGGGGATCAAACAGTTATTATAGGCCACAGATTTCCTTCTACTAGAGGATAAGTCTTGCAGTCTGATATTGTAATTGTCCAAATGCTAGCTGTTTTATTTCATTTTATTATTTTATTTCATTTTATTTATTTATTTATTTTATTATTTATATGCCGCCTACTCCCTATTAAAGTGACTCTGAGTGGCTTGTGCTGAAAAGGGATCTTATTATCTTAATAATAATATTTCAGTAAATAAATGGATGGAAGTTTCTATAAATAAATGAATATCCTGTCCTTCCATTACAAATAGCGTGTCTGCTAGGTAAATGGTTTGACTTGGTCTAGAATATGTTCCTAACCCATGTGGATGTCGCCATTTGAACATGTTGCTTAGTAATTGGTCAATTTTATTGAAAATTGTTAAAAAGAGATACTTCTTTGGGGAAAACTCCAAGCAGTAAAGTATCTGAAGTGTTCTTGGGAATGGGCATTTTGAGTTGGCATCAGAGATACTTGAATAGAGTTCATGATCATAGCTCAAGTCTCAGAACATACCTGCCCACGTGTCTGGAGAAGATCGGGGGGAGGGGGGCTGAAGGATAAAACATGTGCCATGATGCAAACTCCGTTCCTTCCATAATTACACAATTGCCTAATTGTCATGTTAATATGAAAGGGCAGGATTTGTGTCAGTGATAGATAATATGATGTACACATTGTTATTTTGGTTGCTGTGATTAGGAACGGACACCTTTGGTGCCCTGTACAGTGGAGAGAGCTCTCTGCATTACATCCTTGTGTTACTTACCACTCCTGCTAACATAGCTCCATTGGTGTCGTGGCCTAACGCATTATTTCAAACACTGTTCTCTTTTCTCACATAATAATCTCTACCCCCTTTTGCTCCTCTTGGTGCCATTTTTCTTTTTATTGTTTTATGACTTTCTTGTTGTGTCTTCCTGTCAGTGTTTCTTTCCTTTCTGTCTCCCATGCCCTTCATCTGCAGAAAGTGATCTTTCCGAGACAGGACGATGTACTCATCTCGTTCCTACCTTTGGCTCACATGTTTGAGAGAGTGATACAGGTAAGAATCTGCCTAGACTGACCAGGCCTTGTGGGGCTCCCTGTTGTGTTTTTTTTTCCAGAGTCAGTGGTCTCCTACATATGAGGATGTACACATTTCCTATTTGCCTTTAGCACACATGTTTGAGCGAATGGTACAGGTAAGGCCTCAGTGTCAGTGGAAGCCAACATTTTCTCCTCCTGAACAATAAAAAAGGGATGACTAGGCAATGGGATGGCCCAGATGTGCTACTTGATCAGTGTTTTTCAAACCTAGCAACTTTAAGATGTTTGGATACCAACAAGCATGCTGGCTGAGGAATTCTGGGAGTTGAAATCCACACATTTCAAAGTTGCCAATATTGAAAAACACTGTATTGAATCATAGTATAGCATTATAAGAATGACTCACCTATGCCTGGCTTCACCCATGCCCTATCCAGAGGTGGGTTCCGGCTGCTGCTACTGCCGGTTCACTCAGGGATGTGCTTCGCGTGCACACACGCTTTGCGTGCATGCACAGTACTAAGAAAAAGCTGTGCATGCACAGAAGCAAAAAACAAGATGGTACCGTCTATGGCACCGCCGAGAGAACTGGTTCATGGGCGTGGCAGGCTGAGTTACTACCTACTCGGCCGAACCAGTAGGAACCCCTACCTCTGGCCCTATTCTATTCAACTCATGAAAACAAACCATCTCCACAAACTGTGGCTTAAAGCTCTTTCCACTAATTATAGTGACAATTATCCTTAATTTAAGATTCAGAAACATGCTTAATTGGACTTAATTTCCCAACTGCCTCAAGGTTGCCTGAGCCTTTCATCCTTCCGAGGTGGGCAATGAGGTGCCATATTGTTGAGGGCAATATGCTGACTCTGTAAACTGCTGTAAAGGGGGCTGTAAAGTACTGTGAAGCAGCATATAAGTCTAAGTGCTATTGCTATTAATCTAAAACAGAAGGTGATTTTGTCCCCCTTGAATCTAAGAAGAATATTAAAGAGAAACTAGGTTCTTTCTGCATAGTTTAACCATGGTTAAAAATTACTTACAACATGGAATGAACTACTACCTCTCTTCCAAAGACTGTCTTTCCTGAACTTCACAGCTAGTTGTTTGCCCTACAACTAGTGCTGAATTTTTTAATGGAATGTCTTTGCCAAGAGAACTTAAAATATAGAGTGGATAGCCATCCCCCATCATAGCTGGCTTTCTGAGTATTGTAAGGTAGCAAATCTTGGATTCTTTAATAGAATATCTGCCCGCTAATGGTAGAACAGAAAACACTTGTTCTGTTATGCACATGACATGGCCAAGACTATTGTATAGTCTTATGAGAAGTTATTTAATAGTGACTTTCTGGTATCATCAATAAAGAAAGATAGTATATGGGTTTGATGTGGGGCCTATTGGCACATTTGGGGCCTATTGGGTAAAAACAGGAACTAATTTGTTTCCTTTTCCTTTGTTACAGTCTGTAGTGTATTGTCATGGGGGTCGAATTGGCTTCTTCCAAGGGGATATTCGCTTGCTGTCCGATGACATGAAAGCTCTGCGTCCCACCATATTTCCTGTTGTACCAAGACTACTCAACAGGATGTACGATAAGGTACCATTTGTGTTGGCAAATTAAAGGGGAAAAATGATCTTATCTAATAGTTAGGACTGGATGTTTCTTTCTTTTCTTAAATTCATTGGCTGCTGCATATTTAACATTTACGTAAGGCAGTGTACTTACTCAGAATGCTCTACCAGAAATTTGCAGTGGAATAGTATGTTCCATTTAAATGTATTTAGCTACCCAAATGCTTGTTAAGTTGAATGGTATTTTTATGAACAAAAGAAATGCAAAATATTCTATCTGCTGTTAGAACATTGATTTTGTTGAAGTATGAGTTTGGCCTCAGGAAAAATCTGTCATGTAAGCAGCAGAACCATCAGGATAATTATAACAAAAAGAATTTTAAACAGAGCAATTACTAGAATGAAATTAATTAATATAAGAATTTGTCCACTTGAATCACTCCATTAATTGAGACGGCTAAACTAATGGATCTGCATACTATAGTCTAAAGGACTGCTACATTTTTGTTCCAAAACAATTCCTGTGTCTTTTTAAAATACATAAGAAACAGTCTAATTATTATAATATTGCAATAGGTCTATAGTATGAGGTGCTCTTCTGTTAGATAGCAAATGAAATTTTATTGTTTATTTATTTATTTTATTGTACACTGCCCAGAATGCCTTTTTGAGGAGATGGGAAGTTCAGAAATATGATAAATAGATAGATGGATGGATGGATGGATGGATGGATGGATGGATGGATGGATGAACGGACGGACTTAAATTATATGAGGGTTATAATCTGGATGGCCTTGTTTAGTGTTGCTCGCAGGACTTCCCAGAAGTCTGGTTTGATTTCTGTGGCCACTATTGCTCAGGGTTTGATCTAAGCTGGGGGGGCAGAGGCTCCAGGTTTTCTATTTTACAAAAAGTGTATTCCTTTCTTCCGCATACACTTGTCTAAAGGTTATTGGAGATATGTTTTATATGTCTGTAGAGCACAATTAGTAGCTCGGGAAGACTTTGGCTTCACAGTGTTGGCCTCAGCACTGCTTGATTTCTAGCTCTGTGCTTGTGTCTCAGTAGGAGCATGCAGGCAGTCTTCTGGCTACCACCATAGGCTGACTGGAGTGCATCCTTACTAGGGGATGGGGAATGATACTGAAGTCGGTGGAGGCACCAGCAATGCTTGGGTGTGTTTATTAGGGATGCCGTACTGTTTTTCTTGTCACATGGTGACAAAAGCAGGATCGTGTGACTAGCTCAATCCATACAAGCATCTATGGGACATCATGGCAAAGGACCAAAAGGGGTGGGGCTTGTATTGGGACAGCAGAATACCATTTGGTGGTACCGCTTAAGATTTTAAGCAGCAAGGTACTTAGGATAATTAAGAAAATATTTTTTATCTACACATGCTGAGCTCTTGCAAGCATCATTAGATAGTAATAACATCATCACCATCATTATCAAATGCTACTATCTGATGGATTTTTTTTGATAACACCCAGGAAGAACACCTCTAATGGCAATCTTTGGCTATCTTCTCTTTAAAATAAAACATATACTCCATTGCACCTTAGGCTATTGTTCAATATTATTTAAGCCTGCATTTTAATGTACTTGTTATTGCAGTATGTTCGTATACAGGTAGTCCTCAACTTACAACAGTTCATTTAGTGACCGTTCAAAGTTACAACAGCACTGAAAAAAGTGACTTATGACCATTGCAGTATCTCCATGGCCACATGATTTACATTTGGATGCTTGACAACTGACTCACATTTATGATGGTTGCAGTGTCCCAGAGCCATGTGGTCCCCTTTTGCAACCTTCTGACAAGCAAAGTCAAAGTGGAAGCCAGATTCACTTAACAATTGTGTTACTAATTTAAGAATTGCACTAATTCACTTAACAACAGTGGCAAGAAAGATCATAAAATGGGGCAAAACTCACTTAACAAATGTGTCACTTAGTAACATGAATTTTGGGCTCAATTGTGGTCGTACGTTGGAGGCTACCTGTATACAAATACATATGCACTTGACAGGCAATATATCGTTTTGTAGAATGATTAATGCAACATAAATGAAGTTGACTTCAGTTCTTTACTCTTTTTGTATGTGAAACTGTATAAAATAGGATTCTAGTGATTTATCCTGAAGAGTTGGCATAATTGCTGCCTTAGATGACAGTAATAAAAATAAAGATCAGCCACAATTGGCTTTTAAGAGGTGAGAATTTCTCTGCAGTTACCAGATGCCTCTTTATTCTGTTGCTATAATTTCCCAAATAATTACATAAAACCATGCCAAACTAAACATCTAGAAATTCTCAAAATATCTTAACCTCCATTTAAATTTCAGTTACTTAATTTCCTTGTAGAATGAAGATAAATAGAGCATAATTCAAAGAATAATAGATTAGCCTTTTCCTAACAGCTTTATAGCATAGCTACCATTGATTCCAGAAATTGTATACAACTAATGACAATTGTGAGAGTCAGTTTGGTCTAGTGATTAAGGCAGGAAATTCCATGAGTTCTAGTCCTGCCTTAGACACAAAGCCGGCTGAGTCACTTTGGGCCAGTCACTTTCTCTCAGCCCTAGAAAGGGAGCAATGACAACCACATCTAAATAAATTTGCCAAGAAAATTGCAGGGATTTGTCTGCAAAGTTCAAGAGAATTGGATACGATTGAATCAAAAGGGAAAAGAAGACATTTGTAGAGTCATGTCTGCTTATACAAGTAATACATTTGCTTCTTGTCAATTTTTTCTGTGAAAGTAACATTCCCTTGCCTTTCTCCTTGTTCTTTTGTACCTCTTCGTAGATTTTTAGTCAAGCAGACACTCCTGTGAAACGCTGGCTTCTTGAATTTGCTGCTAATCGTAAAAAAGCAGAAGTTCAAAGTGGAATCGTTAGAAATGACAGCATATGGGATATATTATTCTTTAACAAAATACAGGTAAGGCTTTATTAAAAACTTGATCTTGTGGGAGTCACTCACAATAGGGATGCAATTTACCCTGAATGTTTCTCAAGGCATTTAAAAAGGCTAGCTTAAATGTAGGGATGGGTGAAATCCTGAGCATATACTGAATTCAGGTGATAAAAATGGGAAAATAGCTTGATTATAATCAAGTCATTTTTTTCCTTTGGTGCAAACTTGTTGAACAACATTGCCTGTGGGGGAGAGGGGCATTCATATTCTGTGGAAACACCTTGTAATGAGGGTATTGGAGAGTTAGCCAACCTAACTAATTTCACAGAAGTAACCCTTCAAGTTAAATACATCTTCTACTTGTAAACAAGGCCTAAATATTTCAAACCAAACATTAAAAAATAATAATTTTAAGACCAAGAGAAAAAAAGGGAATATTTGTTTGTATTTTTAAACCTGTTCAATTATTGAGATCAGTAGTAGAGACGCTTTAGAAGATGCCTCAGCTGCCCCAAAACAGCTGTGAGTGCAGAAAAAAGGGCTTTCTTCTATATGGACCTCACGCTCAGGAATGTTCCCCTCAGGAAAGTGGATTTAGTCCTTATTTCCTGAGTATTTAGGAAAGTGGCAAGACTCATACCCTGTATTAAGATTCACATTGAGTATGTTGATTTTAATTGTATTGGTTTTATTGTCAATGAGATTTATAGAGACAGCTATGTAAATCTGAGGCCACATAAGCACAAGTTATCTTGCAAGCAGCAACTAGCAGTCCCTCTTATGTATTAGACATTAGTTAATCAACATGAACAGACCTTTGCCTTTGTACATTGTGGACAGTCACACCATCCCTGCAGACATCTTTCTTTTAACTATTTTATTAGCAGGGCTTATATACCACTCCAGTTAAATGTGGCTCTGAGCAGTGTATACACCGCGATCCAGCATTAAGATTCAGAGAAGCCTAACAAAACAGAAAACCTAAAACCAACTCCCCCACCATTCTTGGTGCCAGAGCTTCTGTAGTCACATATTTATCAATGTTCCCTGCAAAAGCCTTTTGGAAGGCCTGAAAGAATAGCAAAGATGGGATTACCTTTGTGGGGAGTAGGGTTGCTTATATGGAGAATGTCATTTTTTTAGTAATAAATGATAAGATGATACTATGTTGTACTTCAAAATTGTGTTCGTCTAACAGGCAAGCCTGGGTGGTTGTGTTAGGATGATTGTTACTGGAGCTGCTCCTGCTTCACCTACAGTTCTGGGTTTCCTTCGAGCGGCATTAGGATGTCAGGTAGGAATTACTAGAGGAATATTCAGATGTGCCTTTTCTGTAATTCTACCTAAGAGTGAGGTGGGGATCAGATACATTCATAATAGAAATTGTCACTAACCTAACAAGATCAGTCTCTTATAAGAATATGTTTTATAAGAACCCTAGGAAAGGCCAGATTTGATTTTTTTTTTCTCTGTCTTAACTTTAGCCAAACTAATGGCTTGGATCATTACAGCATGGAGCTAATTATTATGGCAGTTGCCATTTTTCTAGCTTCCAGTTTTGCTACCATCTAGCTACCATCTTGAAATTATCTTTAATTTAAATTCAAGACCCTTGTTGTTTTAATGTTTTATACTGCATTTTATTCAGTGTTTGTAAGCCACTTTGAGCAAGATGGACAGCATACAAGTTTGATAAATAAATCTGTGTTTCCCAGATGGATTGTCTACAAGCCAAGCTTTTTCCACAGGATTTTAATATGATCACTTTCCTTTATTTAAGTAGACACATATTCAAACCCAGAGGTTCAAGGACATCTTGGACCCAGACTGACAATGCTCTCTTCCTTTCTTTGCAGTAATAAATATTTCTTCCTTAGCCCAAGCAGAGCTTACAGCATTAGCCCTCAGAAATGTTGCAATTGGTGGCTATTAATAATTCAGCTCTCAGCCACTTAATTTTTTTCCTGGCCTAGCAACAAAATCCAAAAACCTTTCCCACTCCACTTTCTTAGTTTATAATAAGAAAGAACATTAGCCACCATTTATAATTTCTTTATTTCAAGAACCAAAAGTTTGGCTCATACAGGATTCTGAATGATAGAATTTCCCCTTCTGAGCACAGCAGAGAATTTCTACTACTTCCAGTTTTTAAATTAAACGCTAACATTAGTGTCTTGTTTAAACAATGTTTCTTTGACAGGTTTATGAAGGCTATGGTCAAACAGAGTGTACAGCTGGGTGTACCTTCACCACTCCGGGAGATTGGACATCAGGTAACAACGAGGCAGGAGCTTCATAAAAGACAGGTGAATGTGGTCATGTAAGGTTGAAAGCACCAAGACCAGAATCCTAAAACATGCTGGCCTGCAGGACAATTATCTATTTAGGCTGCTTCTGATTCTTTTAATATCCTCTGCCAAACAGGCAAGTTCTTTTTAAAACCAATCAATAATTTACCTCCGGTGGAAAGTATAAGTAATGTTAAGCAAAATGCTGTTATGTAAATTTCTGTAATCATATAGCTTACTGGGATTCTAGCTTCAATATTTGTGATAAATTGCAGGTCTATTTCTGTACTGTTTCCCCCCTTTTTGGGGAGAGACAAACCATGGGTGTATAGGCTGCTCCCTCTACCAATCTCACTGTGAGATACTGTGATTTTGTAATTAATTTTTTTCACTCAATTACACATACCTGACTTCACTAATATGCATATTCATTAATATGCAGATAGCTATGTGATAACAATCTGCTGTGGCTTTTACTTTTTTAAGAGAAGAAAACCACATATTTCTTAATTTGATTTTCAGGCCACGTCGGAGCACCTCTGCCTTGTAATTTAATTAAACTGGTGGATGTTGAAGAATTGAATTACTTTTCTTCCAAAGGAGAGGGAGAGGTAATATGTTTGTACACTATTGGTACTTCTTCATTTCTGTTTCTTAGCTACAGATTTAAATGCACCATTTTATAAATAAGAGCTATAGAATAGGAACCAAAATAGAGCATTTCAAAATATGTTCCATTAAACTAGGAAAAGGAAAAGGAATTTGCTAGAAGTAAATCAAATGGTCAAGCCATGTACTTAACATTCTTTTTTAAAGGTTTTCACGATCCTCTTGATAGTAACAAGAATGTTCCTAACCGATACAGGAGGGAACATGGATTGCTCACTGCAATATTAAAGCACTCTAAGTTTTAGGGTGGCCTATTATATCTTCCTGCATTAATGAAAATCAGTCCTTGCAAGTTTTCTTATTGTAGTGCAGTGTTTCTTAATTTCTTTTCTCACTGCACTCTTTCCACTTTTAAAAATTATGGAGGATCCTCAAAAGAGCTTGTGTTTGTATGAGTTATATTTATTAATATTTACCATATTAAAATGTTTAATTGATGGATTTGTAGAATGTTTGTTGAATTGTGTAAAAAAACAGTTTTAAATCCATTAGATATTAACATACTGTACTGTTCTGACCCCCAGTAATGAAAACCGAGACAAGCGTAAAAATGGAATGTCCTTTAATAACAAGACCAGAATCTCAGTGGCTGAAAGCCAAATAAACAAACAGATAAGGACCTTGGCAGCAACGCCAACAAACCTTGGCAGCACTTCAGACAAACTCTGGCAGCAATCCAGCCTGCCAAGTTTGTTTCTCTTTAGTCAAAGTGTTGACTTCTGCAAGAAGGGCGTGGCACAAGCAGTCTCTTTTATAGTCTGGAGAGGAGCTTAATGACCATCAGCTGAGCGTAATTACCTCCTATAATTGTTGTTCTTGACACCGAATAGCCCTTCAACGGCATGCATCCCGGAACAACTCACTGTTGATTTCTGGATCACCCTCTCTGGTCTCCTCCCCACTGATTCCAAGAGTCGGAACCCTGTCCAGGGTCCTCCACATCCTCCAGGGCCGATTCATAGGGCCCCTCGCTGTCGGCAGGGCCCCTCGCTGGTGGCAGCTCCAACGGCTCCTGCTGGGCCACAACACTGTACTATATTTTATTCACAAATAAACTCCCTTAACAAATTAAAAATATGATAATAATAAGAGTGAAGTTGTTTTACAGTTTTGCAAAATATCTTCAGTACCTGGCAAATATTTTTGATTTTGCAGTCTTCTGAGAGGGTTTTGGAGGACCCCCAGAGTTTCTCGGGTCAGATTAAGAAATAGCTTTTGCTGCTCCAGAACGGGTTCTCTGAAAGTAATGTCAAAAGAGGACTTTCCAGGAGTGAATATGGAATGTGGAACCCCCAAACCTTGCCTGGTTGCACTCACACTGGGCTATGGTGGCCAGTTACCGGCCCGCCTGCCTGCTTGCAAGCTCCCTGGGACTTGCAATTTCCTGCCAGCTTCCCCATTGAAATTGCTTTTTGGAAGTAAGCAGGAAGTTGCCAGGAGATCCTTGCTTAATGATGGCAATGGGAACTTCTGGGATTGCCATTGCTAAGCGATGCAGTCACATGACATTGCACGTTGTGACCTCATTGTTTAGTGATGGAAATTCCAGTCCCATTTACAATTGTTAACCAAGTCCATCTGCATTATAGTGATAGTAGAGCAGAGAACAGTTGTTCACCTGTTATCAAGGTTAGATCATTATTTATAATGGTTTGTTGCACAGTCAGCCAGATGTTTAGTCTGGATTTGGCATTTTTATTCACTTATTGAGTCCTTCTTAAGGACCTGGGAGAGACAGATGTGGAAGTTGATGATGTTAAAGACATCATCACAGGATGTAAGCTGTTCCAAGTAAAGCTGCCTTTTGTAATTGACCGGTGGTGATTTTGTCAATGCCAGCAGTGTTCAAATGGTAATCCAGCTATTTGGGGATTATTATTATTTATTAAACTCGTATACCATATTGATTAGTACTTGTTGGATTTCTATCAAAACTTTATTTATAATATTTCTACTCTGCAAAATTCAAACAACTTTTGCCAGCTTATAGGCAATGGTGAATAAGGTTGGCAGCACTGGTTTGCTGCAAGCAGTTGGGGATATCAGCCCAAATGAATGCTTGAAGTCCCTTTACAGTCTGTAAATGCTTCTTTATGGGAGATTGCCATATTAGTCTCTTGCCCTAAGAGCACATAACCTAATTAGTTCTCATTACAAAAATGTTTGCTTCATATCTAGCAGCTGTTTTGTGAACAGTAAACTGTTACTGTTAAGCAGCATGTTGATCTCTCTTTCAGATCTGTGTCAAAGGTCCCAATGTTTTCAAGGGCTACTTAAAAGATAAAGAGAGAACAGCTGAAGCCTTGGACAAGGATGGCTGGCTTCATACAGGGGACGTTGGAAAATGGCTGTCTGTATGTACTGAACTGCTAACTTTTCATTACTGCATTAAGAATAAAGTTGAAAAGTGACATCTTTGTTGATTTGGGGCATTTCTGGAAATAATAAAGGGATAAATAAGTTGGGCACCAATGTTTATATATATATATAGATGGCGAGATACTGTAATGTAGTAGGGAAGTTATAAAGGTTTTTCCAGGGAGATTTGAGTTTAATTTGTTCACCCTTTTGGTGGTCCAGGTTGTTGTTATTTGTTAGCTTTATGGTCATTTCTCCATGAGTTCAGTCAGAGGGATGGGAAGCACCCTTCATTATCTCTCCAATTCCAATCTTATGAATTAGGTTGAGTGACAGAATTGACCACAAATGACCAAATCTTTATGGCTGAGGATGAATTAGAACCTAAATCTCTCCAGTCCTCCTACAAACTTAGCCACTATAACACATTGGCTCTCTTATTGAGGGATCTTCAGAGAAAAGAGAGACTATTGATGTGATTGAATACAGTGTAAGATTGTGATCCCAAAACCATGTACTAGATGGAAAGCCTCATTCATAATAGCAGATTTTCTTTCTATTAAGTAAGTAAAGGGTTGTACCGTATGCTGCCAGTTTTCCTAAACCACAGAGATAATTTTGGCTCCTCTTACCATTCCCAAAATGTAAAATAAGTTGAAAAGTATTGCCTAATTTTTTTCCTTAGATCAATATAATTGGTGGTTTTTTTGTTTACTCACAGAATGGGACACTCAAAATCATCGATCGAAAAAAACATATATTTAAATTGGCTCAGGGAGAATACATTGCACCAGAAAAAATTGAAAATATCTACATTCGTAGTGAACCTGTCTCCCAAATATATGTGCACGGAGATAGCTTACAGGTAACTTGGCATTTCTGTATTTCAGTCAAGTTTCTCTTCTTGTTTTATAATTTGAAAACTCTGTTTGACTTCCTGTAAAATTAAGCGAAGAAGATAGCTATTTTTTTTCTGTGGTACACTACTTCCCTATTATGAGTGTGGCATAGTTGTCTCAAGATAATTATTTGTTTTCTTTTTTACATATATGAAATATAGGTATGTCTAGTATAATGTGGAGAATGGATATTGCCTGATGGTGCCACAAGTCTTCTGGAATAAGTTCAGTTATTAGAAACTGCTATTTTGCTGATGCAAGAGGCATTTCAGAATAAGTAGCAAGTGGAGGTGTGCAAACATTTTCAAATTTGAAATGACCCATTTCAGTTGTTTTGAGCATGAAGCATCTGTTTTCATTCAACACTTCTGTTTTCATTCAGTAATGGCTGGTGTAACCATTTGGGGACCATGAGACTAAGCTGAAAAGCTGGGTCACAAATATGGCTTCCAATTTTACGTTGCAGGCCTTTCTGGTGGGGATTGTTGTACCAGATGCTGAAGTCATGCCAGGCTGGGCCAAGAAAAGGGGCTTTGATGGAAGCTTTACAAATCTTTGCAACAATAAGGTACATGCTCTTCTCTTTCTAGTCCAAATACACAAGTACAATGCTCCTTTAGCAAGATTATGCAAGAGGCACAGATGAAAATTTTAGTTGGATCAGAAATTCCAAGGGTACTATAAAGAATTATGTGGGAGGCAGCTTTTGTTAAAATGAAGGGGTGCAACATGATAGCTTGTAACAACTTCCTAAGAATGGGAAAGAGATTACTCTGAATGGGTACATTATGGAGAACATAATGTAAGAAGGGCCATATGTATGCAGTTGTACATGTTAAATGTTTGGAATACCATTCATGCTCTATGAGTTAATGTCTGATGTCATAATAGTGGTACAAGTTAAATTATTTCACATAAACCATTCATTTATTTAGGAGGCCACCTAACTTCAAAATGACAATAGATAACTATCAAAACCAAAAATCAGTAGAGGTACCCTGTTTCCCCAAAAATAAGACCTCCCTGGATAATAAGCCCAATTGGACTTTTGAGCGCATGCGCTAAAATAAGCCCTCCCCTGAAAATAAACTCTTTCTGAAATATTGCAACACAGCTGCAGACATGAGGTGACCATGCTTGCCACCTCCTGCACCTCAAAAATAATAAGACCTCCCTGAAAATAAGGCAAAGCGCTTATTTTGGTGGTCAAAAGAAAATAAGACCCTGTCTTATTTTTGGGGAAACACGGTAGAATCTGACACTTTCAGTCAATACTCCATATTAAAAGCAAACAACAGAGCTCCATTCCCAAAGCCTGGGAGAACAATTATATTAGGAAAGAGCATGAAACTTCATTAGGGTGGGAGCTACTGGATTAATGAATAGATACCATTCTAGACGGCAGGTGCTGTAATAAGAGAAGGTATGTTTCCTGGACCTGGTTAGATGTCATGGCTTAATTCAAGGGACCTGAAGTGTAACCAAGTCTGCTCTGGATTCTAGAATTAGAATTCTATGGTAAAATGTAGGTGGTTTCATCAAATTCCATCTGAAGAAAGATTATGTATCTATGGTACACCTGCTGTTGAAGACATTGCACATATCCTCTTTGATTGCAAACTATATTATGCAGAAAGGATAATTTATTTAGATTCTAATTTAAAAACTAAAAAAATAATTGGGACATTCAGGAGAAACTGTCTTACTCTTTGCAGGAAATGAACCTGCATCACTAGTAAGACTGCACTCTTGATGATGATAATGATGATGATGTTATCATTCAATTGTGTCTGACTCTTGGCAATTCTGTGGGTTAGGTCTCTCCACATCTTCCGATTTTGCACTGCTTCTTGAGTTTCTCTATGCCCTGGCAGGTGTCAGCTTTGATGGTTCCAGCCATTGTGTTTGTTGGCCTGGTTTCCTTTTACTGCTAATTCTTCCCCAACATAATTGCTTTCTCCAGTGAATTCCCTCGCATAGTCAAAATAACTGAGACACGGTTTCATAATTTTTTTCCTTCCAGTGACATATCTGGTGTTCTGTTCTCTAGTACTTGGTTGTTGGTCACCTTTGCTGTCCAAAGACTCTATATCAATGGCTATTTTAGAGAGGACAGACCAGAGGGGGGTTGCTGCGGGTGCGGCTCAGTACCGCCTTACCGGTAGTGGCCGGGAGCAACTGAGCACGTACCGGTATGGTGGCTCGTTTGGCTGACCCGTGCTCTATAGCTGTTTTTATGGCAAACGGTAAAGTGCTCACATGCACACAGCATGCGGTGTCTGTGTGAGCCCCAACCAGCAGATGGCTGTCGCAGGGGCGGCATGTGCGTAGCGCACGTCCGGCGCGTGCACAAACAGACTGTGATCAGCGTACCGGTAGCAACAGTAAGAGCAACCCACCACTGGGACTGACTATTTAGGACAGATTGGGGTTAAATGTAGGCGTGAAAAATTATTGTAAATAGGTTATGTTGTTATCTTTGTACCTGTATTTGTATTGGTTTTATACTTTTCATATGATCAGATGACTAAATCAATAAAGATTACACTCTATTCCACCCCATCCCACTCTACCCCATCTGTTAGTGTAGACACAGCTGCTCTCAACAGATCAGAGGTGAAATTCAATATCAGGCAACTTCTTCCATTCTTAAATGCCAGGCACAAAAATGGAAAAAAGCCAGATGAGGCCAGTATCATATAGTGTCAGGGATTTTTTTTAAAAAAAGCACTCTGTGAAAGTTAGAAAAATTCAAACATTTCTGAATGATCATTTGAATTTGGGATGGGGTAATGAGAAAGCAATTCATAGTTAAGAATGCTCAGGAAGTATGCATTACAGGCAGCTTTTTAAAAATTATTTTTATTAAAGTTATTAATTTGTAATAATGAAAACAATGCAACTTTTAGAGGAGGAACAAAAGAAATTAAAAATGAATACATAAGAAATTAAAAGAGATAAAGAAGCAGTTTCCAATTTAATAGCAGTTATAAATGACTTTACTGTATATTTTACTTTCTTAAGATTAGATCATAATTTCCTTCTTTCCATAATCTAACCTTTCTAATAGTCAAACCCAGAAATCGCAAGTTCTTTTTTTATTATTATATCTGCAGCAAAAAATTCCATAAGGGGTTTCCAGTCAGTAATAAATGAGGTCATTGTCCTTTCCCTAATCAGACAAATCATTCTTGCCATCCCTGCTAGTTCCATCATCTTTACCAACTATCCCTCCATTGTGGGTATTTCAGAATATTTCCATTTATGTGCATATAATAGTCTTCCAGCAGTGTCATATAACAAATCGCATTCCATAGTTCTTTTTAAAAAGAAAACAGTACTTAAAACTGAGGTCGGTTAGGGATCTTGCCTTTACTAAATGCCTAGTGGAAGAATTGCATTATACATTTAAACTGGCATAACCTTGGCAAATTATAGCATCTGAATTACTGTTTTCCTTGCAGTGTAAGGTAACCCATCATGTGTGCGTTGGCCCATGAATTCTTTCAGGACTTAATGCTAAATCCAGCATAAAAGCTTGAGAAATTCAGTTGTTGCCCAAATAACAGTTTGTGTGATATGCAGGCATGTACATGCATACACGCATGCTTGAAAAATAAAGATAAGTGGTCTTTTTAGACATTGTATACAGGGCCTTCTACTGGGTTTTAGGAAATTTCTTTTTATTGGGCAAGGAGGTCCAACGTTCAATTAAATCAATTAAATTTCTCAGCAAGTGATGGGTGAATGAAGCCAGAATTAAGAATTGGGAAAATAGGTGGGATTTAAAGTGGTACATATCTTTTTCATTGTGCCATTCCGTGCCTCATTCACTGCTATCTATCCAACAAAACAAGCACATAAAAAGGAGGAAATTATTTGAATATTAATATTCTCTTGCTGCTAAATTGAGCTTCATGGCTATAAATAAGTGTCTTATGTTCTTATTTAGGAACTGAAAGACGCTATAATGGAAGATATGGTGCAATTAGGAAAAGAAAGCGGACTTCATTCATTTGAACAGGTAAATACTGAAAAAAACATTGATGACTAAAATGAGATGAACTCCTTTTTGAGATGAATAGGAGGGGATTTTAGTATGCATTATATAAACCCTCACATGCGTCACTGTACTTTGTGGTTCAGCCATATATTCACTGACATTTCTGTTTTTATTAAAATATCTTTATTTAAATTTGTGTAAGAGTCACTTTCAAAAAGTCTCTTGTAATAGATAGTACATATCAAAATAAACTGAAAGCAATTCTGGGAAGTGAGTTCAAGCCCTCAATTCTTATAGCTGACCTAGAAAATAAAGCAGTTCTTTTTGTTTTCTGCATAGGCTATTTTCTCATATGTGCATAGATATTTTTGTAAAACACTTACAGAACTCAAATAGGAGATGTTTGCTAATGGGGACTGTACACCCATAGGGCAGAGAAAAAGAACTTATCCAGAAAAAAACCAAAACCCTTGGGATCTAATCCCATACAGACAAACTTGACAGAATGTCTTGGGGGCTTTCTGTGGGATTTATTCCTAAATATACATATTCAGAATTGCGCGGAGGGTTGTCAGAAATCTATCATATATTTCTATCATTTCATCACTGTCACAATTTGTGTTTTATTTATTTATTACATTTACAAGTTGCCCAAGTGCACAAAATATATTACATGGTATGCAGAGCCAGATTAAGCCAACTGATGCCCTATCTACAGCCCCACAATGGTGCCCATCAATGGAAGTAATAAATGTGATATATGATAAGACCTTTAAACCAGGGAAAGACACTGGATACTAACTAATTTCAATGCTAAAAATTGAAAGTATTTGTAAATATTCAACAAGCATGTTTTCCTGTGACAGTCCTATGCAGCTGAAAGGAAAATAAAAAGTATCTTCAAATGTTCTAAGGCCACAGAACATTTTTATTATGATGTTTAAATATATTTTTAAATGTCTATTCAAAAGATATGTGAAATACCAAGTGAGAGCATGAGCAAAATTTATTTATTATTTATAAAATAGATTTAATATGGCTAATGAACTCAAACAATCACACTCTAACTAGTATACAGCACAAAACACAAACAATAAATCAAACCATATAACATTATAAACATGTACAATAAATAAACATTATTTGTAGTTCAGGTCTTTGTGTAACTATACCAAGGGTTCTGGACTTTGAGGGAATATGAAGCAGACTTCCATGGATAATAGCTTTTTACTCACAAGGAAGAATGCAGTTTCCTAAATGAAAAGGTACAAATTGGTAGCAAAATAAAGTTATTTATTTAGGAAAATCTGGGAAACTGGAGTGAAGCAAATGAATTCAGGTTTAAACCGTCTAAAATGAATGTATACCTCGCCCAAAATAAAAGTAACAGTTGGACTCACCTTTCTATTAACAAAATAATAGTCAGCCACAAACATCTGCCAGTGATTATACAATAAAGAATGAACTGCAGGTCAGAAGCACTTGCTTCATACAAAACCAGAATAAAACAAAGCATATTTACAGTATATTTCATCAATTGGACAGTACATGTAATTTTTGTTAGAAAAGTGGTAAATTATGTTTGTTTTGCCTGATAAAATCCACAATTCATCAGCAAATTTTAGGAAGCAACCAAGTGGAGTTTTTAGATAAGACTTCAGTTTTGTTTTTCCTTTTGATCCTTTAATGCCTATATAATTTTATTTCATTTTTTAAAATTTCAGGTTAAAGCAGTTTCCATCCATTCTGAAATGTTCACAGTACAAAATGGTTTGTTGACACCTACATTAAAAGCCAGGCGACCAGAGCTGAGAGAATACTTCAAGAAACAAATAGAAGAACTTTATTCAAGTATCTCCATCTGACAGCACAGGAAGGTTCTTCAGAATAATGTACTCTGTAGCAATATTAGGATAATTTTGAAAATGTGAAGGATGCAGTTGACATGAATAAGCATCTGACTTTCCACATGAGCCTTCTGCTGTCTGAAGACACGGTCACTGAGTAATTCTTTGCCATCTAGTTCTAGGTCCTAGAAGATTGCATAGCCCATACTGGACAACCATTAAACTTTTTAAAAGTTCCACTCCTTGAAAGTATTTGACAGGACTTTCTTTATTAATGCGTACAAAACTCCCTTAGCAAACAGGAAAGAAATCTGCTTTTTGTGTGACGCTCCTCTAAATCTGGATTCAGCTGTGTGATCTGTAGGATTTCCAGATGTCTCTCTGGATGGGTACTGCTAAGAACTCTTTAGAAGCAGGAGATTCTTGCCCTGATTCACAGGTATACATCATGCACGCATCTTCTTTTTAAGAGTTTGTCCTTCCAAGTACCACTGAGTGCATATGTAACCAAGAATTCCTCATTGCAACTGAGCTCTTAAAATTCCAGGGAGATATCTGACAAAGGCTAGTAGTCTACCTCAAATACTCTTTGACGCTCAAAGCCACAATAAATCTATTAACCTGATACAGAACTGAAAGCTGGAATTGTGTAATTGTTCTTTAAATGGCAGCTGTTATGCTCTGCATACAAAAGTTGAATTTGTTGGGGATAGTCAATTCACACACAGGAATAACTTGTATTTCATATGTATTAAATATGCTGAACCTAGTGCCACATGCTAGATGAATAGTAACTTGTGATTGTCACTATAGGGCCTCACACTTTCCAAAATGGGCAAAACTTGTTTACTGGACACACTTTTGAAAGATGTTGATTGCTTTCTATTTTGGCAGCTACCCAATTGAAATTTATAAAAGGAAATCTAATTTTTGTGAACACGCTGTATAACTTTCGTTTATGCCTTCTACTCTAAATATTTTTCCCCACATATTTAACAGAAGAATGGGGGAACTGAGTGCCTGTTTTCCCTTTGCATTGCTTTAGATTACACAACAGCATCTTGAGCAGTTTCATTTACGTAAAGATTGCTGAGATTGAGGACCTAATATTTAGCAAATATGGAAGGCCTCAGGATTCTAGCCATTGACAAGCTTTTTCAAGAGTTCTACAGAAACTATTTTAAAAGATATAGAAAGGATGTGGGGTTTCTAAGTCAATTGGTGGGTCTCGAGTAACAGATTTAAGGTATTTTAAAGTAGATTGTTCACTTCCATCTTTGGCTGAATGTACAGTACGTAAACTAGAAAAAGTGTAGTCCTATATTTGAGACTTCCTTTCTGTGTTCAGCATGTGAACAATTCACTTAAATCAATATCAGAACTTCAGTGAAGAAATTAACTGTTCTGGAGAAACTTAACAAGAAAAGGTTGCTTGACCCATATACTTCAGACATTAGTTCTTCTGTGGAAATTGAAAACTTAATACTATTGGGTTTGATTTTACAGACTTGCAAGCAAAATAATTTACAAATATACTAAATAAAATCTGGGGCTGTAGAACTGTTAGTATAATCAGTTTTTAAGGCAAGTCTCATTTTTATTCTTTTTTATGGTTTATTCTAAATTCAAAGTGCTAAAGTAATGGTTGAAATTGAGTTAAATTTTGCTGGAATATTCATACCTAAAATTCAGTTGATTTTTTTTAATGGGACACAATGAATAAGTGGAAAATGTAGGCAGGGCATTTATTCATATCTGTTCTATAATAAGATACTCTTAAAAAGAAATCTGCCCATTTGTTGCAGTAGTCTTCTTGCAAAAAGTACCCTTTGTGTTTTCCAATCCCTTCCCTTTCTCTTATCTCCTAATGAAAGATTTTACTTTGTACTTCAGAATTTGTTGTTCAGCTGTGTCCTCTAAACTGATCAATACAGACTGTGAAGATTAATATGGCTTCTACAAATTCTCCAAGTATGTGTCACAGCCATACCAGTTGGAGATTATGAGAGCTGGAGTTTAGCATGCAGTATGTTTAAGACAGGCTGGTATAGTTTCTTCAATCTACACTGCAAAATGGCTAGTAGTTCCATTAATTTAGATCCAAACCTAAATTGTAATTTTATAATAGATAAAGGAGACTCATAATTTAGGTATATTCATTGCAGGAAGACATATAAATATATATGTACTCTTTTTAACTAGATTGCTATGATGCCTGGAGATTTTATTTTGATGTTAAATTCCCCAAAACTAATATTTTGAGAAAACTGGCATACGGATTAAGCTCTATATTATTTTGATTACATAAATTCAGCATTGCCAGAAATGTCTGACATGACATGTTTTACTTAGAATTATAAGTACAATCTTATATATTTATTAAAGATTTTCCGTTATTTAAAACAGTAGTTAAGAATATGTTGGGTATAATCTATCTGAATAAAATTTTGATTTAAATAATAAATTAAGCAACATCTTAAAATGTTCTTATCAAGAGGAAATTGTTTGCTTGATTATGCTTTTTTATGCAAAGTAATATATTTATTTCAGATGTATATCCTCTCCTCCCCCCAACAGTTATTGGAACCATTTTAAAGACAATCTTAGAACATCCTAACAATCTAGTGATTAAACTGTATTCTGTTGCACTCAGGATCACCTTTAAGGAACATATGTTTTTTAAAAAGGGCTGAGCTGTCTGAAACTAATCAAGAAAAAGAACTTGGGCCTAATGGATAGCTTCATAAAGATGTCAAATCACAATTCCTCCTCTGAGAAAAAAGTGCTTTCATGCTTGGGATCATTAACAGAGGCACTGAAAATAAATCTGGCAATAATGCATACTGTAATACCTTTTAACAAATGCTATGGTTATATCTACATCTGAAATACTAGATTATGGCTATCCAACCTTTTGGTCTGCTTGGACCTCACTGAGTGAAAAGGAATTGTTTTGGGCCACATAAAGTATATAATATGGTTTATGTATATAAATCATATAATAAAGTTAAAAAGCCGCATTGCTAGCTATCTAGGGCCACATGTGGCCCATGGGCTGTAGATTGGACAGGTCTGCTATGGGTGGTTCTGCTCACATTTGACTTTTTTCAAAATGTGATCAAGATCTGCTGGAAAAAAGTGCAGAAGATAACCAAAATTATCGGAGGCTCAAACACTTTCCTTACAAGCAAATATTAGAACATTGGAAAATTTTAACTTAGGAAGAAGGAATGATTGCGGTGTACAAAATCATTCATGGCAGGGAGAATTGTTTTCTCTTTTTGTGTCAAGTCACTAAAACCAAGTCATCCTTTGAAGTTGATTGGAAGAAGATTTCGAACAGATAAAAGAAACCAATTATTCATCTAAGCAAATAATTCACCTAAGGCATTTATTACTGCAAGAAACAGACTAAATTGGATTAATGATTTTAAAGAAGGGTTGGATATATCCATGGAGGACAAATCTATCAAGTGCTATCAATTCTGAAAGCTCAAATGTTCCCTCTGGTCTCAGGGCAGCATGTCTTCAAGGGGGAAAAGCAGGAGATAGATATTTATCTTCTGCTCGAGTACCTTAAGAAGTATCACATGCTGGACTAAGATGGGCCTTGGCTGAATCAGCAAGATATTCTCATAGTTCTATGTTAAGTGAATGATCAAAAGATAAAAATCCACTTTGAGTCAAAGCCTATTCCTAGTCACTTCATAAATTAGAACACTGCAGTTTAGGGAGTTATCACTACAGACTACTATTAGTACAGCATGAAGACTTTTTGCAACGGGGGGCTAAATTTTCAATATTGTTTTTTGGTCAGGATCTGCTGGAAATGACAGTAACATGAAAGTAATTGAGAAGCAAGGATATTTTGAGGTATAGGCTAGTGTATAAAATAGGTGCATTAAACACAAGCTCTAAAGCACGATCTGGAAGTGCTAAGGGTATGGAATCCACAAGTTGTCCATTCTTACAGTAAGCAACAATGCTGGTTTATCCCTAGATTTAGAAAATATTGAATGTAGATGCAGTGTATACCTGTGACTGGCACAAGCGCTGATTGTTTTATTAAAACCCCTGAAGTGGAGCTCAATCCTTGGTGACTAAGGGCCATCTTGGCAACAACAAAATGGTTTGCTATTATACTGAAGGATTGGATTTTTTAAAAAACTTTCCAGGCTAGCCTAGAGCCCTGAAGCCTGTTGGTGTTTGCCCACTCATATATTAACTAGGTTCAATTCTGACTTGCTTGAGACCAGCTAAGGTTGACTAGATGTTGCCCCCTGTAGAAGCTGAATGCTGCTTATCAATGTCTTTATTCACCACTGTTACATTTGGCTGCACATAGCTGATCTCATATAAAACCTTTCTACATGCTGTTGAACTTATCTCAGGTGGACAGCAGGTGCATTGGAGATTCCTAAGTGATTTTGTCTGCTTACCTGGTCCAATTTTTAAAAATGGAAATGTAGAAAAAATATCTAAGGGCCCTAATCAAAATATCTAATTAAATAGCCATATGTTGCTTGAGCCATTTGTGTTCAAGAATACATTTGCATTCTGTTAAATACCAGATTTATTTGAATTGTGCTATTTGTTATCAACCAGTTTTATTAAGCATGTATGACTAGTGTAACAGTACAACTGCTGTTGAATCTCTTAGAAAAGTTATAGTTATTCCAGATCAAAATGTGGTGCCAACAATAATATGAATTTAAAATGCTATCACTATGCTGTACAATATATCACTAGAAGCAATACTAAGGACAAAGGGACTAAGTTCATCAGTCTGAATTTAAATACCAGTAAACTAAAATTGGGTTCTTAGTGATTATGAAATCCTGGTCACCATAAAAGCAGCCATTCTCCCTTCAATGAATCATACGTGGATGTTCATTGCTTAATAACTTATGCAGTTGCATAAGTAAATTATGTCTAGTAGATATTTGACTGACACACTAGAACAGGGGTATCAAACTGGCGGCCCGTGGGCTGGATACGTTATGCACAGGACACACCCACCCCAGCTCCACAAAGGAAAAAAACGTTGCAAAACATCAAGGGATGGCAACGTGACGCCGCGGGTTTGACACCCTTGTACTAAAAACTGTATCAGTGTATTTGTTTGTGATGTCATCAGTTTGCAATCCTGTTGAGGGAAGAACATGCAGGAATGAATAAAAGATGAGACTGATCTCTCACAAGAAAAATGGGCCATTCCAGTTAAAAAAATGTTGCATAGTTTCTCATTATAAATATGCACTATACTGCTAAAACAGCCTTTCCTCCAAAATATCAATGAAGTTATATAAGTAAAATTTAATATTTTGGAGGAAATAAAAAAAACCTGAACTGAAACATGAATTTATTTTATATGAAAGAGAAGCAGAAAATCCTTTACAAAGGTTTTTATGACACATTGCTGGTAAGAATAATAAAATCCCTTTTTAAAAAAATAATAATTATTAGTGCATATATCAGAAAATGACCAGTTTTCTTGGAATGAATGAAATCAACTTGAAAAAATAATCTTTGGTGTTCAATGTGTGGAAAGCACAAACTAAGTGATCTATATGTAAATAAACTTATATGAAATGAATGTAAATTTTAGAAGAATATAACTATTTTTGCATGAAATCGAGGAATTTAACAGATGTGCTGATGTCTCATGGAAAATATTATACAGATAGCTCATACTGTAGTTGCACATTAGTTTGCTTCACATTCCTCTCACACAGTTTTAATTGAACTTGCACTAAAGGTAGAACTGTTGTTGCTCGGTAGAATTTGCCTTAAGGCTACATACCTCTAAATGACAGTACGCCAGCGTGCTGCATGTTCTAACTTCAATTAATGTGTCATCCTTTAATTTGGAACAGCTAACTAGTAGAAACATCATACTTTCCTTGATGCCCTTTTACAAACCAAAATATCCTTTCATTCGGAAGTAAACTTTTTGTCATTTTGGTTGTGTTCAGTACTCGAGCAAGCAAACTTGTTGTAAAGCCTAAAGTTTAAAAAGTTAATCTAAATATTTACTCCAACCTGCTAAGTACTTCATGTACCACAGGAAATCAAATGAAACAATATGGTCATTCCCCAAACTTAACCTTTTGTAGATGTGGTGGCGCTATGGTTCCCAGAAATCTTCAGCTGTAAGCTGGAGAATTCTAGGTGTTGAATTCCTGACACATCTAAAGGGAATGAGGCTGCACTAGAGTTATATCAGTCCACACTAGAAAAAGTTGAAAAGTATAACTCCTAGATAGTTATAACAATTCCTATTAAAAACAAACAGGTAAGCAAATGCACCAAATAGCCAAAAAATTTTTTTTTAAAAAAATCAATGAATAATACTCAAGTCAATACTGAAGGAAAAGAATTCCTTCCTAATGATTATTTCTGCAAGAGTGAGAGCATTGAGCATATTCATTCTATTTTTCCTAATTTGCTAGTCAGGTTAAGCAAAATCGTAAAGCCGAATAATTAAAAGTAGTTTCTACCAAGAGGAAAGAAGACTTCATTCCTTAAGTAAGCATACTTAATACTTAATATAGTTAACACCGCATGAGCATATATCTTGATTTATGCTCATTTGCACATTAAGGATGCTGAAAAAAGTTCTGTTCACCTTTCTAACGTAAACCAAGGTATTCATTCCGGCTGTTACTCTTGAAGAATTTTGCTTAACTATTCTTTCCCCAAATAAATTGCTGCATTTTGCTGTTCTATTGAAGGCAAACATAAAGTGCAATTTTAAAATAGGCAACTTCAAAACAGTTGCAAAAGTATTTCTGATTTTGTAGAAGCAGTTAATTAAATAAAGAAAAAATCTCTGAATAAATCAGTTAGGAAACGAATCGAAGGGATTTGGGATCTAGTGGCTTCCACATTACTTCCACAATTCTCCATTTCAATCTCTACTAACAGAATTTCCACCTGTAAACATGTCATGTTCTTGAACAGTTCCACCGTTAGGGACTTCAGGGCTAATCATCTGTCCTTCCATAATAGCATTTTTCTGTTATGCGTGACGCAGCAGCTCTTCCATTCTGTCCAAAGGAATTGGAATTTGGGATTAGTCTAAACATCCTGAAACCAAATAATGCAACTATTATGCTGGGGAACAACTTCAGGGCACCATAAAAATATTAATTTATTTTTGTTGCATTATATTCCAGTAGAAATTCTATCCCGTTTTACCAAGGTGTATGTCCTACAGAACACATTCTAGTTTACTTATGAATAGACACAGAGCTGTTAACATTATTAAAATGTGAAAATAAGAAGAGATTAAACAAATAGCAGCTTTAGTGTATCCAAATTTAAGAGAACAAAATTAATGCTGCCTTAGCATGTTTAGAAAAGAGACATTTCAGCACGTGCAATTTTTAATCTTGCGTGAGGATCCGAATCTACCAAAATGACCTTCCTGAAAAACACTAAACAGCACAAGTCCTGTGCTCTTCTGCACTGAATTATACAACCTGTTTGTAAGCAAGAAAACCAGGAAAACAAATAATTCATAAGTTATTTTCCAGTTATTTATTTTCTGTGAGATAACAGCACCTCACCATACTTTTCTATCATGCAACAGGGCAACATATCTGCATTGAAATAAACTGCAAGTAAATCAGCCGTTTACTTATATATTATTTATCCTATTTTCAACAAAAAGTGAAGATCAAAAATGTCAATGATCAATTAAAATATCTGTAACTAATTATTTTTTGTTTCAATTTTGGGATATCCGCATGTACTATACACTTAAAATGCAAAGGGGAAGATGCAGACTTTTATTTTGTAAACAAAAATGTCAAGTTTATCAAATTTGTTAATATTCCTCTTGACTGACAAATAAAATATTTTTTAAAATTCTGTTTTATTCCAATAATCTGTCTATGGACTCAATAATGAATTGTTCAGAAATGAATGGTTATTTTAAAATGTGTGGACTTTCCTTTTAAAAAAAATATCCACAAGTATACTTTGGAAGTGACAATACTGTATACAGATGACAGAGAATGTTACCTTTTGGTTGCATGTAAGAAGAAATACTGTAAGGAAAACCCTTAATAATGCAAAGGCTAAGGAGCCATATGATCTATGAGAACTCAGATCTTTAAATTTTAATACAGCATTTTTAATTTATATCTGTTCTTATAGAATGAACTTGGGTTCTATGGGAACTCCTTGAACTTAAAACCTTTACTGACATACCGTATATATTTGCAAATAAGCCCATTTATGCAAAAGCCAACCCGCAAATTTTTAACCACAAAAATGTGCCACCTATTGATAAGACAAGCCTTGGATTTTTCCCCCCAATATATTCTAAAGTACTTTATTTGTTTTCATATTTTGTATCAATAAATGTTGTACAGTAGAGATTCTGTTTTAAATTTTCCTAATTGGCTTATCCTCTACATCAGGGTTGTCAAATTTATGTTGTTACAGTAGTATCACATGACATATCGATATTTTTTCTCCTCTACTAAACTTGGTGTGGGCAGCGCATGATGCATCCTGCCCACAGGCTGGGAGTTTGACAGCCCTGCCCTATATGGGGCATTTTTCAACAGCTCTCATATTCATGTGTTGCCTCTCAGACCTTCACTAAAGCAAATCCTAATTGCAAAACTGGCCAGGCATTAGTTTAAGGAATGGAAATTGCCTTGCCTGACACAGAATGACTCAAGAACTGGTGTACCCCAGAATCCCCCCTTTTTATCCCTAAAAGTCATTATAACATGATACATGTTGTGATATGACAGATGATAAATATATGATATGATATATAACATAACATATAATATAGTAAAATACGGTGCAGTGGGCTACTTAAGACACTGGGATTGTTGACTGGAAGGTTGGCAGTTTGAGACCTAGGGTACTGCATGATGAGGTGAGTATCTGTTCCTGCTCCAGCTTCTGCCAACCTAGTAATTTGAAACAAAATTAAAATAAATATGTACCATTTCAGTGGGAAGATAACAAAATTTTGGCATATAGTCATGCCAGCCACGTGGTCACATGCCAGTCCACATGTCTTTGGATAACGCTTGGTTCTTTCGGCTCAGAAATGGAGATGACCCCCCCCCCCAAAGTTGGACACAACTGGGCAGGGGAAACCTATAATAATGTCATATACCATCATATTATATCACGTTACATATCATATCTCAATCTTATTATAATATCTAAAAACCAAATCTTTTAACAAGATTCTGGCTTTTGTCTGCTTCATACATAAAATTAGGGAGCCGAGGTGGTGCAGTGGTTAGGGTGCAGTACTGCAGGCCACTTCAGCTGACTGTTATCTGCAGTTCAGCGGTTCAAATCTCACCGGCTCAAGGTTGACTCAGCCTTCCATCCTTCCGAGGTGGATGAAATGAGGACCCAGGGTGTGGGGCGATATGCTGACTCTGTAAACCGCTTAGAGAGGGCTGAAAGCCCTATGAAGCGGTATATAAGTCTAACTGCTATTGCTATTGTTAATTAAAACACAATGTGTCTTGTCAATCCGAGAAAGGCATCTTCTTGAGTGACAGTAGGAGTATAAAGGAATACAGAGTCTTACGTATTTAAAAAGCCAGAAAATTCTATGTTAGGTTGTGCACACACAAGTAAAATGATACTAACGCAACAAGCCAAATTATACGGTAGGAATTGGCGGAAATACACCCTTCAAACTCTAAACGCTCCTCTTAATTCGCAGAACTTAATCCCACTTTGGAAGGATTATGGCATCTGCCACCGAACGCATCTGGAAAGCATCCCATTAACAAGCGAGAAGCACGGTAAAGCAAGCACGTGTAAAGTCAATCAAATATCGGCAGCCGATCTTTTGATTCGATCGAAGCCATTCTGCGGGTTCTTCTCATTAGACGATCAGCCGCGGCGGATTCACGAGCTGAACAAATGAGGCGAAGGAACGGAGTGGGTTGAGGACTCCGATAGGATCATTGGATTCGTTCCTGAGCGGTGATTGGGTGAAGGTAGCTGCCTATCAGAATGCCGAGATGTCCTCTTTTTTCTCCCCTCCTCTCAGGGAGCGGACCGTCAGTCTGTTATTAAAGGAAGCTAATGAGGCGGGCAGAGAGGCTGACGGCGGGTTGTGGTGTGGGGAAACCGTTTGTGGCCATAGGAGCTCTCGAAGACGAGGTTCTCGTCCTTTCATTGGTATTTTTCAGAGTCATATTTTTGGGATAGCTTTTGCTACCCTTCCCTAAAATCAGGCGGTCGCGTTAACTATAAGGCGGTTTGTTCACCTGCATCACCTGTGTCACCTCAGTTTGAGCCCAATCTTTATAATCGGATCTGGATTTATAACTGCATCCAAGCATCCTTATTTCTCCCACAGCTTTTCATCTGCTGATTCTTGGCTGTTCTGCTTTTCTCCCTATGTTGGCTAGATTTGCACTTCGGTTCTTGAGTCCTTGAAAGTGTCCTCGAAGTAGCATATATTAATGCAAACTCAATTATATATGTTGGGTTACCTGTTTGTATAACAAACAATATTCCTCTAGAAAATACGTTTTGGGGCACTTTCTCTTGGAGGAAAATTGGTATTTGACTTCACTGTAGAAATAATAGATGAGTTAGTTGCTGCAGTACCTGGGCAGCACTAGTTGGAGCAGTGGTGAAGTTCAACATGTTTTACTACCGGTTCTATGGCGTGGCTTGGTGGGCATGGCGGAGGAAGGATACTGCAAAATCTCCATTCCCTCCCCACTCCTGGGAGAAGGGTATTTCAAAATCTCTATTCCCTCCCCACTCCTGGGAGAAGGATATTGCAAAATTTCCATTTTCCTCCCCACTCCTGGGAGAAGGATATTGCAAAATCTCCATTCCCACCCCACTCTTGGGACAGCCAGAGGTAGCATTTGCAGGTTCTCTGAACTACTCAAAATTTCCGCTACTGGTTCTCCAGAATCTGTCAGAACCTGCTGAATTTCACCTGAGTTGGAGTTAGTTAGAAGGGACAGTGGAAGTCTTCCAGATCATCTCCAAGTCCTAGTCAAATTCTGATTTCACTTTTTAAGGGCACATTAAATTGGATTACTGCTTTATTCTCTGAAATGATATCCTTATGTTCTTTTTGTGTCAAGCTTTGTTGTACCTTGGTTCCTGTTCTCCTGAGCCATCGTGGCTTAGGTAGAGCAAGTATTGACAACCAGTATGTCTGAAGATCATTAGGCTTCAGAAAGATGCCTTGGCTTATATTTGACTTAGATCTTGTCTTATTATCTTTTCCTTTTAGACAGCAGCTCTGAAGGAAGAAAAGCAGAAAAAAAGAAGATGGATTGGCTGAAATTACGTTCATACGCCGGGAAGAGGCAAATGCAAAAGAAAATACGTTGTGCTTCTCCATTGCCTGCTAAAACAGCACCTGTTGCAATGGCCAGAATGAAGAGTAAAGCCAAAACATCTCAGGAGCATCCAAATCTGCTTTCTAAATTTAGCTGTGATCCTCAGGTGAAAAGCACTGTTGGTAAAAAAAAAGGTGAGATCTTCATGAAAATTTAAAGTGTTTTTATTTAGAGTGATGTTTCAGATTGTATACTCTCTATACTTTTTTGATCAATCATAGAGAGCTTTTAGATGACTGGAAAGCTGAAGAAGATCTGATCTAGTTTGAACATTTCGCTACAATGTAAAGAGAATAGCTGAATGATATTGTTTGTTCCCGTCTCATTTAAATTACTTACGTTTTCTGTGAATTTGATTTTCAATTAATGTATAGAAGGAAAACAATACAGCTCTAAGCCTCAAGATTTTTCACAACAGATGGGTTTTTTTGGTCTGTATGAAATAAATTGTTTATAGTTCCTGGACTGTGGTGAACTGCCCAATGTAGATATAAAGACATTATTAGAGTTATTAGAATCACTTGAAATCCTCTCAAAGATCTAAAGATGCAACTTTAAATTTTAAGGCAAGATATTTTTTAAATGCCACACCCCTCTGGCCTTCCCTGAATTAAGGGTGAAGGCCTGAAGTTGAAATGTAGTTGTGTACTCCTGATTTTATAGAGCCCTGGATCTCATAAAAGTATACAGGGCAATCATGGTTAGTTCCTTTTAAGGTCTGAAGATTCATATGGAAGAACCAGGTGATTTGGTGAGGCCTCATTTCATCTCTATGCTTCCGTTTCCTGAACAGGAAACATGTACTTTCCAAATAGTTTCCTTCTGCAATCCGAGTCAGGGAGTGTAGGGAGTTGTTTATTGCATAGCTTTAAGAGAAATACTGTAAGTTCTAGTTACATCATAGCCTTATGTGTTTTATTAGGAAATTTCTTCCACAATATACTTTGTGACTTGCTTATTGCCATGTGTGCTATAACTACAAGTGGATTATTCTTTGAATTGTGACCTAGGTTTCAGCTGGAAGAGAAACACCCCCCAACTAGTCCTAGACAATTTTTGGAGTAAGAGCACAATAGGATGGAATGTGGCAAAAGTACATTTATCTAGGATTCAAGTGTTTAAAGAACCTTGATATTTTTTTAAAAAAAGGGTTCATATTGGTAAAAACAGTAAAAAAAATCATTTTCTGTAGGCTGATAGTTTTTGGATGAAGAAAACCACTTTGTGCTGGACAGTTTGAGGGAAGATAGTTCCAGGAAGAAGGGAGGTCTACCTGGATTTTCTTAGGCCTGAAATGGGTGTAATGTATGCTGCATTTGGTTTATAGCCTGCACTTCCTTATTTTTTCTTGAATACAGATAGTCCTCGACTTACGACCACAGTTGAATCCAAAATTTCTCTTATTGAGACAGTTGAGTTTTGCCTCATTTTATGACCTTTCTTGCCACAGTTGTGAAGTGAAACCCTGCAGTTCTTAATTTAATAACACGGTTGTTAAGTGAATCAGATTCATTGACTTTACTTGTCAGAAAGTTGCAAAAGGGGACCATATTTATTTAATGTATTTAGGAAATTTATATTGCCGCCTACTCTCACATGGCTGCTCAAGGTGGCTTACAAGGACATAAAAACACAATATAAAAAAAGAATAAGCAAAATAATAAAATAATAACCCCCATACTCTCATTCTGGTGACAACACACATTAATACTAGCTATTTAATGGGCTCCATCTTGCTCTGGGTTCCCCAGATCGGCTGGTAGAACCTTCTGAAAGAGTGCTAGAATGGGGACCAGTCTAATCTCCGGAGCCCAGGACACTGCAACTGTCATAAATATGAGCTGGTTGCCAAGGATTTGAATTTTGAACATGTGACCATGGGGAAGCTGCAATGGTCTGAAGTGTGAAAAATGGCAATAAATCACTTTTTTTCAACGCCGTTGTAACTTTGAACAGTCACTAAATAAACTGTTGTAAGTCAAGGACTACATGCATTTCTAAGAAACTTTATGGAGAATATTCTGATTCTGAATTCCAGAAACATTTCAGGAATAAGAAACAATGTCTTTTGGTTCATTTTTAGTTACATGGGTAGATGTTTATTCTGTTAGACTTACATGCTATTCCAGTTATAACTAATTCTAAGTAGTGTAGATACCAATACTTTATAGCAATATAACGAATATAATACAGAGAGTCCTCAACTTACAATCATTTGTTTAATGGCTGTTCAAAGTTACAATAGCACTGAAGAAAATGATTTATGATCATTTTTCACATTTACAACAGTTGCAGCATCCCCATGGTCACATGATCAAAATTCAGGTGCTTGTCAACTGGTTCATATTTATGACTGTTGCAGTGTCCTGGACTATTGTCATTTTTTGCAACTTTCTGACAATCAATGGGAAAGTCAGATTCACTTAACAACCATGTTACTAAATTAAGAACCACAGCAATTCACTTAACAACTGGGGCCAGAAAGGTCGTAAAATGGGACAAAATTCACAACTGTCTCGCTTAGCCACAGAAATTTTGGTCTCAGTTGTGGGCTGTAAGTCGAGGACTACTTGTAAAATACTCCACTGATTAGCCAATGCAAACATTTCCCTTGCAAATGGGCTCAAAGATAGCTGAAAAGAGAGTTCTGAATTGCTTTTTGAAAACTTAAAGCTGAAGCCGATTTGATTTCTAATGTTGTTCCAGGTTTGGGTGAATAGGCAGGAAAAAAATGCCTTAAAAAGAGGGGGGGAGAGTTTCCCACAATCTCACGGCTCACAGGTGATCCATGCGATCCCCAGGAGCATTTTTTTTACTAGCGGTTCACAGAACCTGGAGAATTTCACCCCTGATGCTGTGTGTATGTGAGTAAATTGTGTGGGTCTCATAACTGCCCAAGCCACTCCATTCTGGACTCGTCAAAGTTTTCAAATGACATCTCCATGTACAGCAATGTTTTTCAACCACTGTGCCGCGGCACACTAGTGTACCGTGACATAGTGTAAGGTGTGCCGTGGGAAAATTACTTTATATATAGTCAATATAGGCACAGAGTTAAAAATTTTTAACATTTTCTAATGGTGGTGTGCCTCGTGATTTTTTTCATGAAAAAAGTGTGCCTTTGCACAAAAAAGGTTGAAAAACACTGATGTACAGCATATTGCAATAGTCCAAATGAAAGATGACTCAGCGAATGAAAACAAGGCCACCTAGTTCAGGGAAGGTTGTAACTAATGCATCAGAAGAAGCTGTGTGAAAGCGTTTGGAGCCACAGTGCCATGCACTCTTTCAGAACAGTTGTGACTCCAGGAGGAACACGCAGACGCACACCAGGCCCAGATAACAATTGTGTTTGGGGGAGCATGATCACATCCAGAAGGTGCAATATCTTTTATTCAAACTATAAAAATATAATAATTTATGGAAGAGAGAGACACTGTTCCTCTTTTTAAACTTAGTGATTGATCCAGGTCTCCTTTTTCAATAGTTTTTGACAATGTTTAACCCAGAATTGGGATGTGGTGCCTCAGTGGCTAAGATGCTGAGCTTGTCGATCAGAAGGTCAGCAGTTAAGTGGTTCGAATCTCTACCGCTGAGTAACAGAGTGAGCTCCCGTTACGTGTCTCAGCTTCTGCCAACCTAGCAGTTCAAAAGCCCATAAAAAATGCAAGTACAAAAATAGTTACCTTTGGTGGGAAGGTAACAGCGCTCCATGTACCTTCGGTGTTTAATCATGCTGGCCACATAACCACGGAGATGTCTTTGGACAGTGCTGGCTCTTTGACTTTGAAACAGAGATGAGCACCGCCCCTAGAACCAGAAACGACTAGCACGCATGTGCGGGTGAATCTTTACCTAACCCAGAAATATAATTATGAATAGGCTTCACCAAGTGTACGGTATATGTAGGACATTCCTCCCAATCTGAATAGTAACTCACCTGTTGATTAGTTTGCTACCCTAAAATTGCCTAAACTTGGAAGGATGAAAGCTTTCTGTGTACTGTAGGTGGATTACTTACAAAGTTAATTAAATTGAGTAACCAGAAGAGGGAGCATTTCTCCTTTTGAAGAGAAAGTAGCTTTAGAGAGTAGGCAAGGTTTTTCAGAAAGGATTTGCCATTGCTTCTTTCCTAGGGTGAGAGAAAGTGATCACCCAGCTAATGTTGCGCCTTAGAGTGTACTATAAGTCTTACAGTGTCTCATCTGATAGCACTACACCAAACTGGTTCTCTATGCCCCCTTTACATAAAACAGATCGTTTAAGTGAAAGCAAGACTTTTAGATAAGCTTAACAATAAATTTCTTAAAACTATTTTCCTCCTTACTCTTGCTCTTGTGGTAACTTCTCTACCTTCTGTCTCCTTAGGCAAAATGAAAAGCATTGTTACAAAAGCATTACCAAAAATTCAAGAATACTCTGATGTGACTCAGATGGTTTGTCCTTCATCTGAAGAAAGGTATGAAATAATAGGCATTCAGAACTTCTAAAGTTTTTTGTTTTGTTTTAATCTTACGAAATGTTTTAGATCACTTTGTGTTAACAGTATAATTCCATGGGGACTAGGGATGATGGGACTGTAATCCATCATGCTAAGGGAATAGTGTTCTTGGACCAGTTTTCGTATCAACAGCATTCTCATTAAATGAATGCTCAGGAGCAAACATAATAGACTTACTGTTTTACTGAAGGAGTTTGTAGATATCTGAAAAGATCTGAAATAGCCTCTGAAAATGTAATTGCCCTCATTTTTTTCTAAATAGGATTGAATTAAATTGCAGTGAATATAGAGTTCTGGAGGTAACCAAGAATATCAATGACATGAAAACAACTCCTTTAAAGGTAGACATAGTATTGTGAAATCACTTCAATTGAATACATTTTACTGGCGTAGAAACATAGATGAGGATAATATCCAGGATGCCATTAAACCACATTCAGCTCTGATTGTAATTTGAAAAAGTTGATCATATCTGGCTCCCATTGTCTTAGATTGGGTTTACACAATACATTGAATCATAAATTAACCAAACTACTCACTTAAGTCATGAAACATTAACCAGGGTTAAAACTAAATTTAGTATATTTTATAAGTTTATTAGGATAGGGAGAAGTGTGCAATGGGAAGTTAAGAATATTTTACACAGCAAGACATTGTCCTGGGAAATTGTGGTGTCTTTTCCAATCTTTTTGATGAAAAGGATGTGATAATCATAATAATGTATTAAATTTATTTGCTGTCTGACTCCCAGCAACTATGGGCAGTTTACAAATAGTTAAATCATTTAAAACAAGTAACTGTACAAAAATATAGAAGAAAAAAAGATGTCAAATAAAACAACCCCAGATGGGATGATGAGCAATAGACCGGTGTGTGTATGTATGTGTGTGTATGTATGTATGTATGTATGTATGTATGTATGTATGTATGTACCTATGCATGTATGTATTATTGTTTTTTTGTTTTGTTTGCTTGCTTGCTTAGTAATGTGGCTTTTTTGTGTTCACTGGTGTAATAGTTTGATCATAAGAAT